GCATTGATCCTTTCTCAAAACATTCTTCACGGTGACAAAACAAGCCCTGGGGAGAAGTTGTCCATCAAACCTAGAATGACAGTCTGGGAAGGGACTTAAGCATTGATCTCTCCCCAAATAAATCCTTTCCATATGCTGGCCGCTGACCCCCGACCCTCCATCTTATCCAGTAAAGACAAATCCCAGATACTGACCGCTGACCTCAGGCCCTACAGTGCCCAGAAAAGAAAAAGAAAAATTCCTGAGTGCCCAAACTGACACACTCACTAATTAAGTCACCTCTCAGTGTGACCTACAGAAGCCCAGACTCCTTCTTTGGCCAGTGGCTCATTTTCCACTGGGAGAGTGGGTCCATCGGAGGTAGAATTCCATTCCTAAATAAAGGCTTTGCTGACCGGTGACGTTTGCGTCTGGCCCAGTCCCTTTGTGCTAACACCCATTCATTCTTCCCCTACTTATAACCACTGGTCTACTTCCTGACCCTGGACATCTGCTCTATGGAATCCTACAGTATTACTTCCTGTGTTTTGCCATGTGTCAGAGCTTTAGTACTTTTTGTGGCTGAATAATACTCCATTGGGTGTATAGGAACCACAGAAAGTAGTAATTCCCATCTCCTGATGGACCTTTGAGATGTTTCCTTTATGGGAGAAGAGGGGTCTCCAGAGAGGCCCAGGAAAGTGGCAGAGAGAAGGGCAAGCTGTGTCCTTGGCGTACCAAGGGAAGAGAATTTTATCAGGCAGGGTCAGAGGCCCAGACAGAGGTTTATTTAGGAAAGTAGATGCACATTCCTGGGGGAGGCAGGCCATCCTGAGAGTGAGAGACAAGTTTTCCAGTTCCAGGCTCTCCTTCAAAGGAATTGGAGGGGTGGGGGGTGAAGGTATGGGGGTAGACTTCAGTCTGGTAATTACAAGATGCTGGTGTGGATCTGGTGATTCTGGGCCCCTGAGGCCAGCATCTTTACTATCTGATCAACAGATAATGCTGGAAAGTCCCCTAAATGAAAGGCTTTTCATAATATAATTTCTCTCTTTGCTTAAACAGTTTATGGGGCCGGGGGTCATAATTAACAGTGCACAAGGTAGATGGACAGCTGTCCCAGGGCTTTGGGAGTTGCAGGCCTGGGAAGGAGACAGGTTTAGGGATTGCCAGGCCTGGGAAAGTACCTGGAACTTCTAAATTAAAACTTTCATTCCATGGATTGGGTTGTAGCTTTGTGGAAGAGCACTGCCAAGCATGTGGGATGCCCTGGGTTTGATTCTCAGCACCACATATAAATAAATAATTAAGGTCCATCAACAACTCAAAAAAAATTAAAAAGAAAAAAACATTTATTTCCTCTTCCTCCTTTATGTTTCCTTTCTACCTATTTTTAAATTTCTTCTATCCTACCTCAGTTTCCCATTTTCCATACTGTGCTGCTGTGTACTTCCAGGTACAAATTTTCTCCTTGAACACCAGTTTTTAATTCTTTTGGTATGTTCCTATGAGTGAAGTTGCTGGATCATACAATCATTCCGTGTTTAGCTTTTGGACGAAGCATCAAACTGTTTTCCACAGTGGCTGCGCCAATTCACCTTGCTACCAGCAGTGTGCAAGGATTCCAAGTTCTCCACACGCTCACCAATGCTTAGTTTCCATTTTTAAAGTATAGCCATCCTGGTAGGTATGCAGTGTGGTTTTACGTGTTGAGCCTCTTTTACATGCTTCTTAGCTACTTGTATACTGTCTTCTTAAGGGAAAAGTCTATTCTAATCTTCTAGCCTTTTGTCTACTTTTATTTATTTATTTATTTTTAGTTTTAGGTGGGCACATTATTTTGTTTCTATGTGGTGCTGAGGATGGAACCCAGTGCCTCATGCACGCTAGGCGAGCACTCTACCACTGAGCCACGACCCCAGTCCCCATCCTTTGTCTATTTTTAAATTGAGTTGTTTGCTGTGTCTATTTCTTTTTCTTTCCCTCATTTTCTTTCCTTCTTTCCTTCCTTTTCTTCTTTCTTTTCTTTCTTTCCTGAAGATTGAGCCCAGGGGCACTCCACCTCTGAGCTACATCCCCAGCCCTTTTAATTCAGGTCTTGCTAACCTGGGAGAGCTGGCCTCTAACTGGCCATTCTCCTGGAACTTGTGACCCTCCTG